AACCTAAGAGATACAAACACCAGAGTTATGAACCGACCGGTCAACTGCACACCTCATTTGGAACAGGAATTATGCAATCAGGCAGCAGAGACAAAAAAAGGAAATACTGTACAATACTGTGTTAAACAAACTACTAAAAAAAAAAGGAAAGTTTAAAAAAGATTTGACAAGGTAAGGAAGTTGTTTCTTTGCTTGTTTCATTTAAATTAAGATGGTTAAAAGCAGTATTTTTCTTCTGCATAGTAAAGTTTCAAAGCTGCATTAAGTCAATGTTCAGTTGTAAATTTGAAAGAACAATCAAAACATTTTGTTCAGAGTTGCAAACATTTCAGAGTCACGAACATCCTCCATTCCTGAGGTGTTCAGAACTCTGAGGTTCTACTGTATCACTGTCACTGGATTTGTGCTGAAATAGAATCTGAAATCAGGGTTTTTTCTCAACCCTATTGTCCAAAGATCTTCTTCAGGCTGTGTGACTTTATTAAAAAGCCATCATTATTAATCCAACTCATTTGCTATTGTGGATGACTATGTTTGGATGCCACTTCATCTTATTCAAGAATAAGAGCTGCTACGGAGAACAATTCCTAAACTGCTGCAATTTGCCTATATCTGTCCTGTTTTACTGTGTGTCAGAAATGCAAACCAGTAAGTGTTCAGTCAACGCTGATATGTAACCCATCACAGAAAGTAACTTGCCTGGAAATGTCTTTCAGTGGGACAGACAGAGGCATCAGGAAAATAATTATCTCTGCTATATTCACATGTGTGATACATGTTATTTTCCAGCAAATACAGTCACTGCTTCCCAAATATCAACTATCTCACTGAACATTAAAATCATCTAAATCATGATACAGCAGTCCTCCCACAAATGAGAATTAGTTAATTCATCCAAAACATCTGCACCAGGAAGAAAGTTTTGTTTGGGATACTTAGTGCACAGTCCACCTAGAAATGGGAAAACTCACACATCACTGTTTACAAAAGTGTTTATCATATATGGTGTAATTCTTAATTTTATTTTTTTACCTGATTACTAAGCGGATGGAGTTCTCAAAGTATTAAGTCAGTAAGTTCTAGTTCACACACTGCTGTAGCATATGGTCAGGTGAGAGATGGCAAGAAAAATCCATTTTAACTCAGAAAAAGAAAGAGAAAGAAAGAAGGCAAAGACAATACCCCACTTCAGACCCATTCACCAAAGGACTTGCAGAAAAGAGGAGCTTTGCACCATGCACTGGAAGCTAACAAACTTGAGCTCTGGTGAATGGCCAATGGGCACAAGTTTCACAGTCTGGGACCTGCCACTGAGAATGCCATGACTTTAGAATGCTCATGGACAAGCAAACACCTCAGCTTGTCCCAGCCATTGTGATGGTGCATAAGGAAAAGAAGTTTCTATGGTAGTCAGGTCCCACACTACATGCATAAAATCATTTGTGTTGGTAGTGGATGGGAAGTTTTTATTATCTTTTCAAAAGCCCCAATTAAATAGTAATTTCAAGTACACATGATTAGTTATCAGTCAGTTAACAGGATATAAACATTTCAATGGCTCAGGAACACTTTAATGACAGCAAAATTAATAGTTATTAATTATTATTATTATTAAGTAAACACTTGTTTCTTTTTAGATTATAGACTACAAAGAAAGCATTAGATTGGTTGCCATTTAATAATGAATAGTTACCTTTTCAACCGGTGTATTTTCTTCACTTGTTACACTAGCTTTTCTTGATTCAGTTTTGGTTCTGCTCAGCCTTCGGGATACTTTTTCTCTAAGCAGAGTAGCATATCCAATGTGCTCATAGATGGGGTTTTTGGTCATTTTGGCAATATACTCAGAAGCCTTGGTTTCTATATACAGTGTTATCAAGCCATCTGTTACCAAATCATGGATAGATTCAAACCTTTTCTCCCCCACAAAGTGCTTCCCATCATAGAAAAGCCTGTAGTTTAAGGTTTGATTACCAAACCTGCATAAAAAAAAGAAGAGAAAGAGAATACAAAATATCAGAACAACCAGGAGACAATCTTGCTGATTATACATACATTTTTAGGTCCTAATATTGCAAATGGATCTGTGTGGATGAGTATCCCACAGAACCTCATTGTGCTCATGTGGATCTGACTGAAGGATTAAGCCACCTAGTGTTTAACAAGCAACACCACCCAGAAAGTGTGGTGCAGTTAGTCAGTATGTGCTCATCTTGAGGGGCTGGCACAACACATCAGAGGTATGCTTATACTGATTGACAAAAGCCTATTCTGGGGAGTGCTATTTATGGCATGTATCGTATACGGTTTTAAAAAAATATATTAAAAACAAAGCATCTTAAAATGTTTCTTTTATAGCACATCAAGGGTGAAATCCCGATCTCACTGAGGTAAATGGAAGGTTTTTGTCAGTGACTTCAGTGGGGTCAGCATTTCAGTCCAAATGTACATGTTTTCTTTGTTAAATGGATTACAGGCTAAAAGCTCCAGAATGGTCTCAGATTTGTGCTATAACTTTTTTTCATATAAATTCCCAATTTGCAAACAAACGTACGTTTTTGAATCAACAAGTATTTCCATAGGTAAATTTAGAAATTAGACTGAAAATCTAGCTCTTGATGTTAGCAACTGAAGTATTCTGTTACAACCACTATACATATCTATATTTAATGACAATCAAATACTATACTTTTCTTACTCTTTATTTTGTAATACTTTGTTAAGAACCTTGAAAATCTCCTATTTTGTTCTTTTCCATTTGACAAACACTGCTATTCATTTCCTACACTGTTCACACAGCAAGCACCAGTGTCAGTCTCAAAATGGTTTTAAATGCTGGACTGCTGACGGCCTTGTTTGTGCACCAATATAACTAATCAGGATGATCTCAGTACAATGTTCATAGCTCTAGGAAATCTCTTCTAGGAAATTTTTGTTACAGACTCACCAAAGGGAGTATAAAATTGGAGACTCTTTTTGCAGGTTCCACAAAAATAGTAATGTTTTTAAAACTTTATTTTTTTTAAATTTTATTAAAGGTGATAGGAGCTGAAGGATATTTCCCACGAAACTATGACAGTTTTATGATGTACAAAATTTTGCACTTGAGTAGCTTGATGTCTCTTTAAAAAGAAAGATGCTAAAGTAAGCTTTAGGGTTCTAATAATTTTATTTAGATTCAATATATAAAAGGACCCCGACCCAAGGTTTGAGGCACCCTACCATTATTACTCTCACAATCAAAATCAGCAGCATAAAAGTCGTCATTCCACAGGAATTCAGCAAGCTGCCTACAGAGCCTCCTTTCCACGCCATCATTGGGGGAGCACAACTTTACCTTCTAAAAAACTCCGTCAAACAGATATCTTTTGCAGTATGCCTGGAAGGTCACCAAAATCAGACCGGGGGAGGGGGGAAGCTAGTTCTAGAGTACTGCAGCCTTCACAGAGGGCATCCTACCAAGCGCCCCTCTCATTTATACTGAGAGGGATCCAGTCATGTGCCCCTTCTGACCACAGTTGTGGCATGAGGAGAGGGACAACTCCTCAGGTTGGCCTGTTCCAACTCATTTAGGGCTTTGTAGATCATAACAGAGACCTTACACTCCACCCAGAGACCAATGAGCAACCAGTGCAGATTTGGGAGGAGCACTAGTGTCATGTGTTCCCTGCATGATGCCCAGTCAGTAAGCAAGCTACTGCATCCTGCACCAGCGGCAGTCTCAAAATGGTTTTAAGGAGTAGTCCCATGTACAGAGCACTGCAATGGTCTAAGCTTGAGGAAACAAAAGCCTGCATAATAATGGCAAGGTACACATCCACAGAGAAAGTTTGCAAACTCCTAGCCAGATGCAGATGGTAAAAAGCTTACTAGGTTACTGAAGTAATGTGATTGTCAAACAGGTTTAAAATCACGCTTAGTTGCAAGCCCTAGCAATTAAAGGCAGAGGATTCTCTCAATCAAAGAGACTGGTATTATCTCCGCCATCCCTTCCAAATGTCTAGTTAATCTAGAAATGTTTTATTAAAACTGAGTTTACCTGAGAGCTAGAGTGTAGCATCCAGGTTGCCGCTGGCTCTCTCTAAGAATATATGCTCCTTCTACACCTGCAAGTATTTCATCTGCTTGCTCCCGAGAAATAATTCCATGAAACCTGAGGGGAGAAATTTCAGCAATTTACGGAATAATCATAAGTAGAAATAAAACTACAAGAATCATGGTTGATTTAAGTCAGACATATGTGACTAGTAGTAGATCATAATAGGATAGCAACACCAAATACTGCATCAGTGAAACAACCTGGAAACAATTTCAGGTCCCCAATTCCCAAACTGACAGACATCAAGCTTCACACAGGTGATGGGATTGAACTGAGAAAAGACAGAGCAAAGAGAAAATGTTGTTCACTACCTGAATAACTCCACTGAGTGATTTTAGAATAATGTCTTTCAATTTGGCCCAGGAAAGTCTAACCCCAGCTACCGGAAAATACTGTGGGCATGACCATCTGAATTTAAGTAAAGACTTTAGAGCAGGTAAAAATGGTGTGTGAATCTTGACGTTCCTACCATCACAATACTTGGCAGCTCAAGGAGCAGGAACAATTAGATATAGAAGAACAAGAAAAAAACATGAAGGCCAAATCCTCAAATCTTGATTTAAAGACTTCAAGTTACAGAGAATCCACCATTTTCAGACCAGCAAGTGACCCATGCCCTACGCTGCAGAGGGAGGCAGAAAAAACCTCAGGGTCTCTGCCAATCTGACCTGGGGGAAAAATCCTTTCCAACCCCAAATATAGTGATCAGTTAGACTCTGAGCATTTTTTTTAAGCCAGCTCTAAGAGGGAGCATGATCAGGCCTGGAGTTTCCTACAATGGTTACTTTATATGAGCGGAATGAAACAAGAGCAGAAATGAAGGCACCTTCAAATAAAAAGAGATAAATTAAAATTAATGCACATATTCTAGATAGTATCCTTTTTAAATATCTGCCTTTATTGTTCATATATATGGTTTTTAAAAGGAGTGAGGATATCTGCACTGCTTCTTTAAATGTGTGGCAGAAAGGCGCTGGTGAAGGTTCTAGTCAGATGTGCTATAGTGACATAGAGAAATAGACGAAGAGTAGCCTTAGGGAGAATATTGTTTTCCTCATTTCAATAAAGTTCCTTGGCCAGTTTCTGCAGAAAGTGACTCTTTCTGTGATTCATTCCCCCATGACAAAAGAAACAGGCCCTAAGACAAACAGCTGACTTTACATTGATCAGTTCTTCAGCTATGACCTTTAAACAAGGACAAAATACAGTCTTTAGAGTAGTTTAAATGCTATGTTGTGCACATATTTTGCTAGCTGATTCACTAAACCTTTCCTTGGAGCTTTTAAAAGCTTCTATTTTAAATGCTGCTGTCTAAAAATACAGTAAATATGTTAAAAGCTTCTAGCCCTAAGCATTGTCTTTTTTCTGACATAATACGTCGGAAATGGTAGGTTTAAAATGCTGCCTCTGGTTTGGTAGGGAAAAAGAAGAGGAAAAACATTTTAGATGTAAAGAGAACTGAACAGCAATTGCACTTGTCACTTTTTCATATTGAATACATGTTAGAGGCATTAGGTTCTAGGTGACCTTTCCAAAGCATTACTAGGCATACTTCCTTTTTTAAATTATGATGGATTTGGACTTTCCTACTATGCTGATGAACCACGGGCATTTTCTACTACAGCCAATTAGAATGAACATCTCTAAAATTACACAATTTAAATGCATCTTTATTAATAAATTCACTGTCATTAATGTCAAACAAGTCCAGTTAACAAGAATGAGTTTAGGCTCTGAGCTGTAATACACACACTATCAATAACAACCAGTTCATTGGACAAAAGACAGTGATAATAGTTTTAAAAGCTCTAGAGCTAGAAAGCATGGTGGTTCAATTAGCTAGGTGCTGTCTTTCAAACTCTACTGTACTCGAGTGGCTATGACTGAATTCCCTATTGTCACAGGTTATATTTTAAAAATGCAACTATAATAATTAGGAGCTCTTTGATAGTTTGACAGCTGCTATGCCCTGGGTGTGAAAAAAACCCTAAAAATGAAATTATATAGTTAATCCTTATTGCAAGCTAAACTGCAGGCCTTAGAAAAGTACCATATTAAAGGGAAAATTCTCATTCTATGCACACAGCTCAAGTAAAGGGTCTCGAACGAGCTGTAACAATGGCTATGAACACTATCTATTCAGGGCTCTGGGTCAATGTACATGCAAGCCATTTGGAGATAACACTCCCACTGCACAGTGGGAGAATGGAGTCCCTCTTTTGAGGCCTTGGAGTTGCCTGCCCTTTTCCCTTCCTTGCACTGGACACCATTTCAGGCCTCGTATGCCCATGGGGTAAGGCAGCCTTTAGACCTGAAGCAGTCTCATACTCTCACTGACACTGTAATACCGGGTATCAGTGAGAAGAAAGTACAGTAAGCACACATCAAAAAGAAGGAAGAATAGGAGGAACAAGATTGAGAAAAACAGTAAAACTAAAAGGGGGTTAAAAGTTGCAGCCGAAAAAAGATCAAGGATGGGAGAGCTGAAACAATCTGAACCATTCTTCCTCAAATAACCCCAGATTTGTTTTTAGTCACCATCCATGGTTTTGTCCTACTCTAGTTGACATGCATGCTGAAGTGATGGTACAGGCCATGCACTGTTGGGCAACAATAATGAATCTATGTGCAACTAGAATATTAGACATTCAAAACATTTTCATGCTAGGATTATGGAAAGTGAAATGAAATATTTTGTCATAACACCTCCACTATGGTATTGTTATTTCTGTATTAATAATTTCAAAAGGAATGCATGATACCTCAAGTGATTATTTATCAAATAATGAAAAATAGAATAGTATAATACATACTCTCTTCCATAATATTTTGGTCGGTTCTCCACCTAAATGTGAAAAGAAAGAAAAATATTAACAATATACTCAAAATTACACCAGTAACGTTAAAATAAAAGTCAAGCAAATGAAATACCGATCATCAATGAAGACTGCAGCATCAAATTCAGAGCATATGCTTAAGCTATCAAAAAAAGATAAACAAGAGCGCCATGGTACGTGAAGTTATGTTAATCTGAAGTTATAGTACACAGAGAACATATGGTGAAAAATAAAATAAAAAATAAAAATAAGCGGTTTTATTTTCATGGATTTGTGATGACTATAAATATAGTGAATGGTGAAACAAATGGGGCAACACGAGTCAATTGTATTAGATGTGATCAAACAGATGAAGAATAATTTACTATTTTTTCTCATCTATTATTTATACTACATAATAAGATTATTTTTATCCTGTGCTGTTTCTCAGACATTGTTGCCTATAAATGGCAAATGTCTAAAGCTGAAAAATTTAATGTTCTCAGAAGATTTAAAAAAACCCCAACAAAACAAAAAACCCACCCAGGTTTATGGATTTAATTCTGGTATGAAATTCCTAATGTCTCAACAAAGCATGAGCCTAATCTGAAGTACACCACTGAAGTCAATGGAAAGACTTCCAATTTGGCTTTGGACCAAGCCCTAGTAGAGTAACACGCCTATACTCAAACTTCAGATATTCTGACATGTTGGTTTACCACTCAGGCTGCAATCCTGCAATGAACTCTGAGCTGGGGTGCCTTAATTTATCTAAAGCCTTTGTTTTAATCATTTGTATTATTTAATTGCCTGGTTTATCTGAATTATTACATAGTCTCAATTTCAGCATGTGATCCACAGACAACTGTATGGTAGCTCTGTATAATGAGAAGGATCCGATTTCAGTTCTGACTTTCTTTACTAATTGTAAACAAACTGGTTTAGTATTACTCTCTGAATGTTCCACTGTGTGGTGTATACTAGGTATTGAGTTCCACAAAAAAAGTTACATGAAGTTAAAAATCCTCAATCCTCAAAGTTCATGGACTTGGTTTATATACAGACAAAAAGAACAGATTTACAAAATAGTTTATCTTAGACTTTGTGGAGACAGCAGAAATATGATGCAGCATAAGAAGCACCAGAGAACCCTGAAGTACACACTCATTTTTCAGTAGTTTACAAGTGAAAGAAACACTACACCAGCAGGGGGCACTTCTTTCCAAGGTTTCATACACAAGATTTTTGTTTGTTTGCTCAACATTTATAGAAAAATATTTGCTTTTTGAATATTAATTTATAAAATGTCAATTTTTTCCTGCCCACTTATTACCTGAATTTATCTATAGTGTGTTAGGAAAATCCTCAGAGGATATTTTATACAGCTGGATTTTTTTTATTTTATTTTTTTGATATGACTGGCACTATAATTTCTCTCCAGCTCTGATCTTTGGCTGTAGCCTTTGACACTTCCCTCTTATATGGCATGAAAAATACAACTGGAACCAGAATGTAGGCTTGTAAACTTAAAATAAAAATCAAATAAGCTCTATTTTTTTTCCAAATGAGCTCTATTGTGCACCGGAAGCCAGCACCATACTTCCAAACAACAAATATATGAAATTACGGAAAAAGTAATTTTCTGCTGGTGCAATAATCCATACACTGCTGTACTGAGATGTCTGACCTGGTACCCTGAGGTCACAGAGGCTAGGCATCTCAGACATGATATAAAGAAATTAATGTTAGAAATTACTTCCTTTCAATAGTCCAACAGCAGTATCAAGCCCTTGAATCCCCTACCTCAGAACCATAAATTGCTACAAGAGAGCACAGTAATTTGGATATTTGAGAAGCAGGAATAAAAGAAAGAGAATAATCTTGTAGAGTGAACCCAGAGCAAAATCTGAGGCACATCTGAGCACAGGTTTTCAATTTCTAGACACATACATACAGATCTTGTTTAAACAGTGCAGATGGTCAGAGAATTTTTAGCAGGATTGCCAGTTAGAATTTTGGTTTTAACCTCCCTAGCTCATTTCTGATGAGATTGTAGACAGGGGTTAAATGAAAGGGAAAGAAGGGAGTAGGGGGGAAGGCATTACTCTTATTAAATTAAAGTAACCAGCAAAATACAGAAATGTGCAGGATGTTGAGTTTCTTTTGTTAAATATTTACCATTCAAATCTGCTCATGTGAAACCCATATATACATACACTTAAGCACGGGCAGCAGGTATAGTAGGCCAGGGGAGGCTAAGACTCCCCTAACCCAGGATGTGGCCCCACCCATGCTCCGCTCCGAGGCCCTGCCCTTGCTCCCCATCTCCCCGAAGCCGGCGGGAGCTCAGCTCGGGCCAGAGGCCTGGAGCTCAGGGCTTGTCCAGCCGTCAGCTTGGGGTGGTTCAGGCAGGTGCTCAGGCCAGCTGGCAGCCTGGGGTTTGGGACAGCCGGGACGGGCAGCAACTCGGGGATCAGGGCAGCTGGGGCGGTTGGGCAGTGCTCGGGGCGGTTCAGCCAGGGCTTCTCTGGCCACGGTGTGGGGAGAAGGGAGGGGGAAATCAGGTGGAAGGGGTGGGGGCCAGGTGAGCTAGCCTCCCCGAAAGGGGTGTTCACACACCACCCATGCACCTAAGCATAAAACTAGAGAAAAGTAAATCTCAAAATAATGTAATTCTGATAATGAGAGAAGGACAGCAACATATTTTGCATTTACATAGTGTGACAGACATGGCAATTTCCTGCAATATCTTTGTGAGATCTTATTGTATTAAATTTATGTACCATTGTGGGCCAGGGACTGTATGTAATTCCATCGGGGAGAGTGACCACAGCTTTTCCAGGAACTAAGAACAGCATGAGGTAATTAGGCAAATTCACTTGGGTAGTAAACCTCTAGAGAAGTACTCCTACCTGGAGACACTCACGTATATTAGTCAAACTGGATTCTCCAGGGACCAACAGACAAAAAAAACAAGGGACTTTTGGATAAATAGCCTGAGTTTAAACTGACTCAGGGCCTGCTTTCTGATCCAGCAAATGGACAGGACTTCCTGCCCATGGTGGACCCTATTCCTTCCTGGGAAGGGTTGGGAGGACTTTGGCCGACCGAGGCCCCATAAGACTGATGCATGTCCTCTGGTGAGCTTTTCGCATCTACACAGGAACTTTGCTTTTTATGTTTTGCCCCTAGTGCCTTCATCTTAAGAATAAGTGTGCTTGCTTATAAAGGACTATTTGGAGCTTGTGACCGCTGGCTATTACAGCTGTTCATAGCCTTCCAACAGAAAGCAAAGACACTAGTCTGTTTAGGCATTCTGGCTTTCTGGGAGTAACATAATGTAGTTAGGAACTATGCAGCCTGGAAAAATCCTGGTCGGGGGGGGGGGAGGGAAAGGGAAAGAGAGAGAGAGAGAGAGAGAGAGAGAGAGAGAGATGTGAGTCTCCACCCAAGAGAGGTGATGGCCTAGAATTGGTACCCTTGGTGGACCATGGAGGGGAAATACATGTGCAATTGCCCTGAACTATGACATATAGCACCTTTCTTCTTGGAGGATCTTAATAAACCTATGGGCCAGACTCTGATAATTTGCAACTCAACCTGAGTAAGGGTATCAGAATGTGGCCCCAGGTGCATGCGAAACCCCTGAATACAACCTCTTAGGTGGACACAATGGCTAGTCAGCATGGAACAATCACAACAGACTCCGGTTCAACTGAAGCTGTGTCAGTCTTTATCTCACAAATGAAGCACTGCACCTAGCGGATAAAGAGCCAGGCAGCTGTTGTGTTGCGAAAACGCTGACCGGCATTTGCTGAGTTCTTATATAACCAGTATGGGTGGCCTCTGCTACACAATAAAATCAATAGCGCGTAAGCAATACTAATTCACAATTACAGGCCCAGCCCCGCTGCATGAGTCCTTACAGCAGGCAGCGCACTGCACAAAGGTGCAAGGAGGAGATTTTTGGCAAAAAATTAAATTACATCTTTAATGTTCTTACAGAGAAGCCAAAACCTCCGATTTTAAGGTCTCAAATGAAAGACACATGCAGAGTAAACATCATGGCACTCAATTTATCTCAGAAGACTAAAGGGCTGAGTCAGCAAGGCTGGGATTTTTATTTATTTCTAGTTGTCTGTAGAATCTCAGGATCATTTTCAAGAACGTAACACACTAGAATGACACAATCAACCTAAAAATACCTCCACAAACCTCAGACACTCAACTACTGCCAGGCCATTTCTTTAGACAGGAACCTGAATAGACAGACAGATCTTGCAACCTATCCTAAAGGCCCATAAACTCAGGTTCTGTCAGACCAGTGAGGAAATCACATTGCAGACATGATGACCTAGCTGCTGAAAATGTTCTATATCAGCTATATCAATGCAGCTATATCAATCTATGGCCTATCACTGAGAAGATCCTCATTGATTTCAGCCGCGAGGAATGAGCATGACAAGATTGGAGGTTTCAAGGTAACTAAGAGCTATATCATATTAGACTTTATAGATCAAAATCAACACCTTGACGTACACCTGTGAACAAACAGGAAGCCAGTGATGTGTATGGAGCACAGGTTTACACTCCCGAGGAATCTTGTAGTAATATTTTGTACTACCTGAAATTTGTGCATGAACTTCAAGGGAAGTTCCATATATCTCAGTGAGCAAGACTGACTGAAACTCAGACTGGGGTTACGTTTCCCCACCTGATGTGAATGAGCCCAAAATAAACAAGCTCACTTTGAGGACCATTCTGCTTACTTGGACTTCACAGAAATCACAGCAGAGAAGAACGCTCTCACCATCTCCATTGGCGCCACACCATATTTTTCCACAGTTTCTCTATGGAAAAGACAGCTACCTTTTCCATAACTGGTGTTCTTTGAGATGTGTTGCTCATGTCTATTCCACAATAGGTGTGCGTACTCACCACGTGCACTGGTGTCGGAAGTTTTTCCCCTAGCAGTACCCGTAGGGGAGCGCCCCAGCGACCCCTGAAGTGGCACTTCCATGGTGCTGTA